TGTGGCTTGGGCAACAGAAAGCCGAGAGGTGGATGATCATGAATAAGCCTTTGCGGGGCCAGGGTGTGTGGAAAGACGTTTGGGTTCACCTGCGGGAGCCTGAGGCACCCTCACTGTCTCCCACATCCGGGCTTGTAAGGCGCTGAATCCCCCCTGGCATTCAGGAAGCTGATGCCCTAGCCCAGGTATGAGTCCTGGCAACCGACCCTTTGGTAGATAAAGCAGATTGGCTGCAGGGGAAGAGTGGCCACGGCAGCACTTGGGTGGGATGCTGTATTGCCAAGGATACCAGATTGCTCCTGAGAACCAGTGACTTGGTTAATGCAGTAATATCATAAAATTTTTTAAGTGTTTATTTTTGAGACAGAGAGAGACAGAGCATGAGCAGAGGAGGGGTAGAGAGAGAGAGAGAGGGAGACACAGAATCCGAGGCAGGCTCCAGGCTCTGAGCTGTCAGCATGGAGCCTGATGCGGGGCTCCAACTCACGAGCTGTGAGATCATGACCTGAGCCGAAGTCGAATACCCCACCGAGGCGTTGAGCCACCCGGGCGCCCCTAATGCAGTAATATCATGCCCTGTGTGTTCTAAACAATGCCCAAGGCAACTGACAAAAAAGTCTGGGGCCATCCATCCGAGTTCTCAACCGGTAAGGGACAGGCAAGTTGATTACATTGGCCCTTTCCCTCTGAGGGAGGGTTCTAACTATGGCTTGGGTGGTGTGGTCATTGTGTCTGCTCTGACCCAAGCTTTCCCTTGTCACCACGCAAACCAGGCTGCCACCATTAGGGGATTAGAGAACACTGAGTATGATGTGTGGATACCCTCACCAAACAGACAAGCGGCTGGGGTCGCATTTTAAGAGTCATGATGTGTGAGACTGAGCAAAAGAACATTACAGCGGATGGAGGTTCCGCCTCCTGTGTAACCCACAAGCAGCAGGATTGGTAAAAGGAAGAATGAAATATTAAAGCAGCAGATAAAATTACCAGCAGGTCAAACCACCTTGGCCGGGTGGCCAAAGTACCGTCCCAGGCTTAACGGATTGGAATGAACAACCAATTGCCCCATATGCCAGACTGGGGACCCCTGTCAAAGCACCCAATATCGTAAAGGTGTGGGAGTCTCAGGGGAGAGCTATCGCCCTGACTCTCCCTGTACATCTACGTGCTGGGCTGAGGAGGACACCGAGTCCCATCACGCCCGGGGAGAGGCATTTATCTACGAGATGTGTGATGGGACATCCAGCCAGGGTTGGAGAGTTATTTCACACCCTGGGTCGGGGGGAGCTGCCCAGTCCCCACTGGGAAAGGGGAGAAGACGGGACCCTGGTCTAGTACATCCTGCCCCCCGTCCATCTCCCCACGCCTGACAGTGCTGCCTCCCCCGGCCAACCTGCATGGTGTGCACAACCTGATCAAGTTCCTGAAGCCGCAGTCACATATTTTTAAAAATGTTTTTTTTTTTTTTTTTTATTTTGAGAGAGAGGGAGAGAGAGCAAGCTGGGGAGGGGCAGAGAGAGAGAGAGAGAGAGGGAGAGAGGGAGAATCCCAAGCAGGCTCCGCGCTGTCAGCCCGATGCGGGGGCTCGATCCCACAAACCCATGAGATCAGGACCGCAGCCGAAATCGAGTTGGGACGCTTAACGGCGCCCAGGCGCCCCCTAGCTGCAGTCACATTAAGGAGAAGGGTTCCCCATACAAGTTTCTAAGAAGTATCTGTCTTTTTGACCTTAGACTTCTACTGCTCCCGTGGTGTCCGCTCACGGGATAGGCACCTGATGGAAATACCTTTCTACAGAGGGCCCACTTGCGTGCCTGGCAAAGGAATACAGTCCAAACGGTTGGGGATGCAGGTGGCTGCCCTTTAGCTTGTCAGGATTGTCGTGGTGTACCCAGCCCGTGATGTGCCCCCCCCACCCCCCACCACTGCTCCAGGGAGGGGATTGGAAGGCATTAGAGCAGTACATTAAGGGAGCACAAACGAGGACAGGGACAGGTGCTCATAATTCAGCGGATATTACCAGCACCGATCCAGAAACCCGACCGGTTACTGACACTATCAATAACACCAGGCACGGGCGTTCTTCTTCTGTCAAGTCAGTCAGACAGGCAGCCCATCAAACCGCCGACCGGAAGGGTCCCCAAAACACCACTCTCCGAGCCATTAGGTGGTTTCACTCAGATGTGGGATGGCCCCGTGCGGCTTCAATGCGGCTTACCCTGGGTTAGAGACAGTGGAGCACTCGTGGGCTCGGGAACAGAAAAACGCCACTCTGAACAGAATCAAACCAAGTGTAGCAGGGACCTGGGATGGAGTCGTTTTGTCACTCTGAAGGATCGCGGCTGGTTTGGCACTGTTATGCCACCCAGGTATCGACCGGGTAATTCCAGATGGGACCCAGGGGGTGTGCGGCACAGATCTTTGGCTCGGCTTCCTCCTGGGTGGTGGGGCTGCTACCCCCTGGGTTTTCCCCAAACTCTGACCCACAGTAACCAAAGTTATCAATCTCTCTCTCCGTAAGGTCAGAAGGGCACGTTGTTTTCCACTGGTATGACCCCCTCGGCTGCCATATTTGTTCCCTCCACTGGCCTGAAGGAAGTTCTAGCAGGCATAGGAGCCCTTACTAAGTTTACCCGACAAAGCCTGTTCTATTGAACACTGAAATGTCTCCAACGAGAAAATCTGTCCTCCAGATTAGAATGGCCTTGGGTATTATGACTGCCTTGCAAAGAGGCACCTGTGCCATTATCCGAGCAGAATGTTGTGTGTTCGTACCTGATGAGTCTATCAATGTATCATCTTTGTTAAAGCAGATGAAGACACACAGGTGAATCCCCTGAATGATCCCACCCCCATCCTAAGGGACTTAATAAATCTGTGGTTTGGGGAAGTGTAGGACTGTAAGGGCTGGTCAGGAGGGGTGGAGGGTTAGAGGAGGTCACCAAGAGGATGTGACTGCCAGTTGACCCTTGAGGTGGAACCAGGCAATCAGAGGCTCCTAACCCCCTCCCCTGTCCTTGGAATGTATGTTCTGCTCACCATTCCCACAGTGAGAGCTATTTTCAAGGATCTGCCTTGAGAGAGTAAGGTGTTGTTGAGCCTTTCCGGACACTGTATGTGACTGAACCCAGTTAAGGCCTCTATATGAACTTTTAAGATTCTGGGGTGGGGGGGGCGGTAAGGAGATCTACTTGTCTTGCAGCCACTGGAGACTAGCCTCCTGTGTAAATCCCCTCCTTATTAAGGGACTACCATCTCCCGGGGCGCCTGGGTGGCTCAGTTAGTTGTGGCTGACTTTGTCTCGGGTCATGACCTCACAGCTCATGGGTTCGAGCCCCGCACCAGGCTCTGTGCTGACAGTGTGGAGCCTGCTTGGGACTCCCTCCCTCCCTCCCTCCCTCCCTCTCTCCCTCTTCTGCATGTTCATGGGCAGGAATTCTCTCTCTCTGCCTCTCAAAAAACAAAAACAACTTAAAACAAAACAACAACAACAACAAAAACCCTGCCCTCTACCAATCTAGAGTAGTTGACTTCTTTCTCCTTGCCCTCTGAGTGTGGGGTCCAGTTTCAAATTTCACCCAGGGAACTCTCCAGCTTTTGAACCCACATTCCTCCTAAGTACTAGGAAACTGGGGTATTTCTAGGGGAGCCCATGGTTAGTTCACTCCTGTATCTCATTATTGGGTCATCTTTTCCAAGATGTTTGTTTCTTATGGGCATCGACATTCAAATGTTGTATACTTTTCATACGTCACTAAATACTCCTTCCCCCCCCCCCCAAGGATTTATGGGTGGAAAAACGAGGCGGGGGGGCAACCGGGGGATGGCAGAAAACTGAAAGATATGTTAGAGTAGATAATACCTTGTTCCCTAATTTTTCGTATTTTCCCCCCAGAAGGGTGTAAAAGCATGTTACCGTATTAAATACTTTATATCTCATTAAAAAAACCTAATTGTGTCCGGGAATGATGGAGTAGGCAGTTAGTTAGACCTGAGCTGGGGGCAAGGGCTGTGAAACATAGGTCACACATTAGAAGCCTGGGGGCACAACAGTTTGACTTTGTGGCTTTCAACATCTTGGCCTTGTGGCTTCCACCAGGGTTGGCCAACCAAGAACCACAGGTGCAGAACCTGCGGTTTCCTCTCCAACTTCTACCGCGGGGTGATTGCCTATGTTCATTCTAATATATTTACATTGCGGTTTCGACCCCCCACCCGCTACCCTTCTGGGGGGAAGGTGGCCATGACACTTCCGGCAAGAAACTTGTAGGGCCCCAAACTTCCCCTCCCAATAAATAGGAGGAGTCCCTTAGATGATTGGAAACCACCCTAGCTAGGACCCACAAACAGAAAAAGAAAAGACACCCCTAGCCTCTTGGCAGTTGCCATCTCTGGGCCTGCCCGCTCTCCTACCTTGAAAGTGTACGGTTCTTAAAAAGCTTCTTTGTGCTTGCTGCCTTCCTTCTTAGCTGTCTTTATTCAAGCGCGGATCCTCAGGTTATTCTCTCGTGGGGAATCCAAGAACCGAGACCTCCATTCACACAATGCAGAATCTCCCACCGGTAACATGAACAACTCCTCAAGTTACACACGATTTCATGGTTCACGGTGGTCCGTACTTTTTGTTATTTAAACTAATAGCTGAATAACCCACGGACGTTTCCTTTGGGATGACTTCCTAGAACTACAATTACAGTTTTTCAAATCTCTTCCCTAAATGTCCAAACGTGTCCCTGGAGAAGCCGATACCGCAAGGAATTCTGGGGAACGTAGTTCTGGTTTGGGGCAGGCAAGACGTCGGCGCTGAGTAGAAACACTTCTGGAGGAAGTCGCTGGGCGTGAGAAAGAGACGAGACGATTTTCCGCAAACGTCGCTCATGTGCGCCTGCGCGGTGCACGGGGGCGTGACTTCACGTTCCCACGCGATTGGTCAGCCGTCTTCCAGGCACGCGCAGACAGCCCCCTCCCCGCCCCGCCTTTCGCACGGTCCTCTGGGAGTTGTAGTTCAGACTCCTGCCCCAACACGGCCGCGGGTCGTCGGCTCGGACATCTGAGGCCGTCCTGGCCTTCGGCTCTGGGCTCGGAGGATGGATCCAGGACCCGGGACCGACACGGCGCCGCTGGCTGGCCTGGTCTGGTCGTCGGCTTCGGCGCCTCCGCCACGGGGATTCAGTGCGGTGAGCGACGTCGGGGGCCGGGGATCAAGTGGGGGCACGGGATCAAGTGGGGCACAGGCGGCCGCGTCGGGGTAGGATCCTGGCTCTGACTCCCGTCCACATCGTAGATCTCCTGCACCGTGGAGGGGACGCCCGCCAACTTCGGCAAGAGCTTCGCGCAGAAGTCTGGCTACTTTCTGTGCTTCAATTCCTTAGGCAGCCTAGAGGTAAGGGGCGCCCACCTTCGGAATCCCCGGGGTCAGCCCACTCCCCCGTCCATTTGCGGGGCCCTCCGCCAGGGGCGCTGTTCCTGCTGCAGCATGACTGTCGCTGTGTCCTCCCCTTCCTCCCTCTCAGAATCCGCAGGAGAATGTGGTGACCGATATCCAGGTCCTGGTGGACAAGAGCCCCCTCCCACCGGGCTTTTCCCCGGTCTGCGACCCCCTGGACTCCAGTGAGGCCCGCGTCCGAGACTGGGGGCGGGGTGGGGGGCCGCGTTCGGGTCCCTGTGGGCAGGACCAGGGAGGGGCGGAGGGACGACAGGCACTTGTTTTCCGAGCCTCGACTGCCCACTCGATGCACTGGGTAATGACAGAGCCGGCTGAGGCGTCGAGCTCTGCTCCAGGGCGGGGCCACATGCCCTGCCCTGCGTAAAAATGTGCCGTTGGCCCAGCCTTTGTCCCAGAGTAAGAGTCATGACTTGTTTTATTACTGTTCCTGCTATATCTTCTTAACTGGTAGCCAAGTAGAACCCTCACCATTTCCACGCCTTTTCATTCCCAGGCTTTTGCACACAGTTTCCTCTGCCTGGAGCACCTGTCTTCGACTCTTGGGGCTAGTTAATGCTTGATTCTCCCTCAGGTCTCTGTTTAGTCCCCGCCCCTTCTGACTCCTATAGCCCTGGTGCTGCCCTTCCAGCCCTGACCACCCTGCTTTCCAGCCACCTGGCTCTCCCTGCCTCTCACTGTGTCTTGTCATGTGTATTTGGTTTTTTTTATTTTTTATTTTTATCTTTTATTTTTGAGAGAGACAGACAGAAAACTAGCCGGGGAGGGGCAGAGAGAAAGGAAGACACAGAATCTGAAGCCGGCGGCTCCAGGCTCCAAGCTGTCAGCACGGAGCCCCACACGGGGCTCGAACTCACAAACCGCGAGATCATGACCTGAGCCGAAGTCGGACGCTTAACCGACTGAGCCACCCAAGCACCCCTTGTCATGTGTATTTGACTCTCAGGGTATATCTATTGATATTAGAGTCGGCAAGCATTTTACATACAGGTCCAGATAGTATTTTAGGCTTTGCAGGCCAGATAGTGTCTGTTGCCTTTTCCCTCCATAATCCTTTAAAAATGTGAAAACCGTTCTTAGCTGTGCAAAAGCAGATCTTGGCGTCTTTTGGCTCACGGGCCAGAGTTTGCTGACCCCTGGATTAGAGGACTAAGGAAAAGTGAGGTTGGTAGGGCCAGGATGGGCACTCAGTTCCATCCGATCCCACAGCTACCCACCCTTGCCATGGGTGTGCATGGTCACCCCATGAATGCTTCTCCATGTCACCAAAGATAGGCCTGCGCCAATGGCCCCGAAAGGCTACATGGAGTCCCCTCCTATGGCTATACCATTCATGACTCAACCACTGACCTAAAGCTATTCAGGTAGCTGCCTTAAATAGCACCCTGGCAAGCGTCATCCTGGAGCCATCTGTGGGTCTGTTCTCTGGTTCTTTCCTCTTCTCACTCCCTTGCCCCCCACCCCCACTCCCAGAGGCCTCTGTGTCCAAGAAGAAACGCATGTGTATGAAGCTGGTGCCCCTGGGGGCTGCAGACACAGCTGTGTTTGATGTCCGGCTGAGTGGGAAGACCAAGACGGTGCCTGGATACCTTCGAGTAGGGTAGGGCCCCCCCCTTACCCTCCCCCCACCTCTGGCCTCCTCCCTTGCCCTCCAAGTCCCATATCTGCCCTGCTGACCCTCAGGGAGTCTCCTGAGGCCTCCTGTGCTGCCTTTTTAAAAAAAATTTTTTTAAGTTTGTTTCGAGAGAGAGAGAGAGAGAGTGCATGAGGGGGTGAGGGAGGGGCAGAGAGCGAAGGAGAGAATCCCAAGCAGTCCCCGCAAACCGACCTGGGGCTCTGACCCCACACAAACTGTTGAGATCATGACCTGAGCTGAAACCAGCAGCTGGATGCTTAACCGACTGAGCCACCCAGGCCTTCTCCTGTGCCTTCTACCGCTTACCTGTGCCTCAATTTCCACGTGTTAAAGTCTCCTTACTTATTTATTTTATCTGGAGAGGGAGGAGGGGCAGAGAGAGGAGAAAGGAGAATCCCAAGCAGGCTCTGTGCTGTCGGCTCAAAGCCCCACGTGGGGCTCGATCTCACGCACCATGAGATCAGGACCTGAGCCGAACTCAAGAGTCCGATGCTTAACCGGCTGAGCCACCCAGGCACCCCCTCAATTTCCGCACCGTAAAACAGGAGTGATTGTGTCAATCTTGTAGGGTTCTTGTGAAGAGTGAGTTGATGGGTCTGAAACGCACACTGTGGTGATCTGACCCAGCAATATTAACTAGGATGTTGCTCAGGGTGCGGGCTGCGATGCTGAAAGGAAAATCCCCCAAAGGGCTGGGGTCACCCCATCGGGCTAGGACCCCTCCCTACTTCTCTCTCCTTCTAGGGACATGGGAGGCTTTGCCATTTGGTGCAAGAAGGCCAAGGCCCCCAGGCCGGTGCCCAAGCCCCGAGCTCTCAGCCGGGACATGCGGGGCCTCTCCCTGGACCCACCTGCCCAGCCCAGGTGAGTCCTCAGGCTTGGGAAGGGGGCGGCCATGGGGGGAGTTGGGCTTGACCTGTGCTGTCCTGCCTCCACCAGCAAGGGCGGCTTTCCAGAGCGGACCCTGTCCCGGGTTGGCTCTCGGGCATCTACTCTGCGGAGGAGCGACTCCATCTATGAGGCCTCCAACCTCTATGGCATCTCAGGTGAGCGCAGAGCAAAAACCTGAGGCACGGGGGGGGGGGGGGGGGGCGTGAGGGCAAGGCTTACCCAAGGTTGAATAGCCAGGAAGGGGTGGAACCAGGGTTGGAACCAGGCCTGGTCCTCCCCTATTTTGTAGAGATTGGGGGGTGGGGATGGCGTGAGGCTCTCTGCTTAGGGTGGCGGCAGGCAGGCCTCAAGTCTCCTGTGCCTCAGCCTCTGTCCTCACTCGCTCTCCTCAGCCATGGATGGTGTTCCCTTCACACTGCACCCGCGATTTGAGGGCAAGAGCTGTGGCCCTCTGGTGAGTCTACGCTGGGCGCTGGGGGCGCCTGGGGCTGCCCCTGTCAGTGGCAGGGAGGGTCATCCGTGCCTCCAGTGCCCCAGCACAGAGGTCCCTGTTCCTGGGTTGGAGGAAGCTGGAGGGTCTCAGGCTCGGAATGGGGCATCAAGAGGGACAACTGGATACTGGTGGCCCCAGGCAGTGGCAGGAAGGGTGAGGGGATGTTCAGGCCAATACTGAGGGAGACCCTCCTTGAGGTTCAAGGAATGGGGGTTCCAGGTTGGGGTCCCCGCCCGGGACTGATCTGCCTCTGCCCGCCAGGCCTTCTCTGCCTTTGCCGATCTGACCATCAAGTCACTGGCGGATATTGAGGAGGAGGTGGGTGCAGGGCCCAGGGTGGCATGCTGGGGTGGGGGGGGTTCTCCCCTCCCTTCCCGTCGCCCCAGGCTCCCCCATCCACACCCCGTCTGCCAAAGGCTGGAGATCGCCGAGTCCCTAGTGGTTTCCACCCCCTCACTCACTCTGTGCTCTCCTCGCTCCGCCTCCGCAGTATAACTACGGCTTTGTGGTGGAGAAGACTGCGGCTGCGCGCCTGCCCCCCAGCGTCTCGTAGCCCTTCGTCAGCCCCAGGGAAGAGCCCCCCCTGCCGGACACCCGGGACTGGCAGCCACCCCACCCCACAGCATCTTGGGAATCTTGGTGGCGCAGGGCATTTTAGACCCTCAGCCACACAGCGGAGCGACAGCCCTGGAGAAGGGGGCAGGACCGGTCCGCTCGGTGATGGGGTCTCTCGCCCCCTGGGCCCTGCAGGGCAGGGGTGGGGGCTGGACGGAAACCAGTGCCTTCAAGTCATTTGTGTCAAAACTCTCTGGTGCCTGGAGGCCACGCGGGCGTCCTCCTGGCAATAAACACCGCCCTGCGCTCGCCGTCTGGAGTCCTGATCCCGGCCGCCGGTCCTCTGTGGTTCAAGGTGTTCACCACGCACGCGCGGCACGAGCCAGGGGGCGGAGGTGCCCCCAGTGCAGGACATCTAAGGCGGCGCTGCCACCACTCGCCTTCTACAGAGGGGGCATCAGGCTCCGCGAGTGCCTGAGCCGGGGACGTAGGTCACAGAGAAGACCTGGTCCGCCCCTCCAGCATTGTGCAAAACGCGAATAATCGTTTCAGTCACATTTATATTGCGGGGACCCCAGCCCCAACACCTGATGCGCAGCGTCTCTTTCAGTCTTCCCGCACCCCGGTGGGAAGCCCCGGTTTTGTCGCGTTTTACGGAGCGGGAAACTGAGGCAGGGGCCCGCTAAGGTCACAGCTGGGATCTGAACCCAGGGCCTGCTGTCTGAACTTTCTGCCGGGTGACGGGTACGTTCTGTCCATTCTCATTATTGGCGGTAATTAGGTCCCTTAATGTCACAGCGAAAACTGAGTTAGGGAGTACCGGATTCCATGGGGGGTTCCTACCAGCCTTTGGTCACATTTTTGTCAAGCAATCGGTACCGGGCCTTGTTTTGTGTGTGTTTCAAGACCCCGTGTTTTGTTTGTTTGTTTGTTTGTTTTGTTTTGTTTAATTTTTTTTTTCAACATTTATTTATTTTTGGGACAGAGAGAGACAGAGCATGAACGGGGGAGGGGCAGAGAGAGAGGGAGACACAGAATCGGAAACAGGCTCCAGGCTCCGAGCCATCAGCCCAGAGCCTGACGCGGGGCTCGAACTCACGGACCGCGAGATCGTTACCTGGCTGAAGTCGGACGCTCAACCGACTGCGCCACCCAGGCGCCCCAAGACCCCGTGTTTAATACATACTGCTGATTAATGTTGAACTTCCGGCCGATAGCGCTGTTAACTTATGCCTGAACAAAGTTCATCTAACCCACACATTTTCTGCAGGAGGCACATCCCTGCCTTCTTGCGTGTGGGGACATTAGGTAGCACGAAGCACTACACGTGGGGACATTTTTATTTTTAAGTTTATTTATTTTGAGGGGGCGGGGAAAGGCAGAGACAGAGGGGGAGAGAGAATCCCAAGCTGCCTGTGCCCTGACAGCGCACAGCCAAGTGCAGGGCTTTAACCCCCCAACCATGAGGTCGTGACCTGAGCCAAGTCCGAGGCACCGATCAGGCGCCTTGGGGGCTTTCTTAAACAACAAAGTTGCCCATGAAGAAGCACAACGATGTGAAAAACCTGCCGCTAGGTAGACCACAAAAAGGCCACCTGTTTACGGTCTGAGGGGTGAAACAAGACGGCCAGAGGGTCACCACGTTCCGCCTCAGCTGGGAATGGGTCCCCCAGGGTCCCCCAGTGATTCAAGCTACCCCCCCCCCCCCGTGCGTGTCCTCGAATGGCCAAGTGCGCAAGTATTGGCTGGGGGGTGGGGTACAAGTGAATTTCAGCCAGTAGAACTCACAAATATGGAATCCGTGAAGAATAGGCTGGACCCATTTGTTAAACGAATAGCCCCAGACTAACACCATTTTTCTCCCACATCCGTGCTCCTTCCTTTAATGTTCTGTCTTCCCTAGGTCCCCACAGCTTCCGGGTGGCCCAGGTCCTGCTGCGGTCAGGAACATCCCCAGATCTCTGTGGCTTCAAAAGGCTAAGGCTTAGTTTTCATTCATCCCACGGGCCCATGGCAGAGCAGCCCCAGACTCGGCTGGTCACAGTCCCTGAAATCCGCCTGAAGGGGCTGCCACCATCCCCTGGCGACACTGGGGGGCCGACTCCAAAAGGTCTTGCACCATCAGTTAAATGCCCGGGCCTGGAAGTGCCTTTGTCAAAGTTCTGCTCGCGGGCCATCGGTCAGAACGCGCCCCACTGGGCCCCCAGAAGGGTTGTGCCACCCACTTTTTTTAAAATAACTTTTTTTTTTAATGTTTATTTTTGAGACAGAGAGAGAGAGACCGAGTGTGCGTCGGGAGGGGCGGAGAGACAGGGAGACACAGATTCGGAAGCAGGCTCCAGGCTCTGAGCTGTCAGCACAGAGCCCGACGCAGGGCTTGAACCCACGAACCGCAAGATCATGATCTGAGCTGAAGCCGGAGGCTTAACCGACCGAGCCACCCAGGCGCCCCTGTACCCCCCACTTGTACCCCCTGTCCTGGGGGTCTGAGGGGAGAGACAGCAAGCTGTCCCGGAGAGGTGGGCGAGGGGAAACCGTAAAATGTGCCCCCTCCCCCATACACTTCAGCTGCCTTGGGAAAACTAGGCCTTTGGTCGAAGACATCGCCCCACCTCTCCCCTCTCTGGGCACAGACAGCACCTGCCAGGTCCCGCCCAGGCTGCTGTGGCGCCGACCGTGGAATCTGATCTGCCCGGGAAGTAAAGGCTGTTTGTTCTCCCTGGTCGCCTTCTTGGCCACCCTGAAACCAGCTTCAGATCACTTTCCAGGGCATCCGCGGGTGACCAGGGGCCCCCCCAGATGAGCCGTCCTGGCCTAGGATTCAACTGGGCTTGCTGTCATCGCTAGGCCAATGACCCTGCAAAATCCCAACCCTCTGGGCCCCACAGGGCCTCAGGACAGTCTGGGGAAGGTCCAGGAGAATCGCCATGGAGCCCACCCACCCCCTCCTGACTTGGGCCACATCGATCCTGACTGCTATAGCTGAGCTCACATCTTGGGCTACAGAGAAGGGAGCCAGGGGCGCCTGGGTGGCGCAGTCGGTTAAGCATTCGACTTCAGCCAGGTCACGATCTCGCGGTCCATGAGTTCAAGCCCCGCGTCAGGCTCTGGGCTGATGGCTCAGAGCCTGGAGCCTGTTTCTGATTCTGTGTCTCCCTCTCTCTCTGCCCCTCCCCCGTTCATGCTCTGTCTCTCTCTGTCCCAAAAATAAATAAAAACGTTGGAAAAAAAAATTAAAAAGAAAAAAAAAAGGAGGGAGCCAAAGCTTTATCCTTCCTGCCCAGGCACTGAGACTGAGGCGTCACAGGGCAAGATGAGGTCCCAGCTGCACTGCTCACTAGCTGGTGACCCTGAGCTGTGGCTTAACCTCTCTATACCTCAGTTTCTCCGTCTTTCCAATGGGAATCTCAATGGTCCTTACCTCTCAAAGGTCCTTACCTTACCTGACCCAGGGATCGAACCCGTGAACCGGGAGATCATGACCTGAGCTGAAATTTCATTGCTAGAGTTCATGGTATGGATGTACCAGTCTGGTCACCTGTTGATGAGCACGTGAGCACGTGGGTTGTCTCTCATTCGTGGCCACTGAGCAAAACTACTCCGAGCACTGTTGTACGCGTCTCTTGAGGAACGCATTCATTCCCATTGTGCAAATGCCCTGAGTGGAGATTGTGGGTGGTAGGCGAGGCCTGGGTTCATGTTCAGCAGATACAGCCAAGCAGATGTCCGAGGCTCTTTGGACCAACGCACCCCCTCACTCACAAGGAATGAGAGTTCCAGTGACTCCGTGTCTTCACCAACACTTGGCACTGTCCGACTTTGGCTCAGGTCATGATCTCACGGTGCGTGGGTTCGAGCCCCGCGTCGGGCTCTGTGCTGACAGCTCGGAGCCCGGAGCCTGCTTCAGATTCTGTGTCTCCCTCTCTCTCTGCCCCTCCCTCACTTGCACTCACTCTCTCTCAAAAATAAAGAAATAAACATTAAAAAATAATATGCTCATAAATTGTTTTTGTGTGTGTGGGGAGGGGGGATATGCCCCTTGCTGTGCTGAGCCACTTCCTTCAAGGTGGCCTCTGGCCTTCCATTCTAAATGTCACCAGCACAGAGGGCGCCAGCTGCATTCTGCCACTTTCAGCAGATTGCGTGTGCAGAAGAAGTGAAGGAGGGAGACCGGTTGCTGCCTCAAGGGGACAACAACAGTCATGCCTGTGTGAGTCAGGCATGGTGTTTGGCACATGGTGGGCATCTAAACATCAATAGTTCTTCTCCTCCAGAGATAGCGTGGTTAAGTGCTTTCGGTATCCCTCCCCCACCCCACTCATGCCTACTGTTGCAAAAATGCAACACAGCTCAAGCAGATGCTATCTGTGCCCCCCCCCCCTCCCATCCATCCCATCCATGTTCCTCTCCACATGATGAATGTCACTCGCAGCAATTATCTGCAACCTTGCCTGGGGTTTGTGTGGCCACAGGTGTCCAGCTGGTGCGTAGGGAAGACCAGAAGTATGAGGGGTTAATGCCTGATGGTGGTCAGAGGATAACCACCCCAGCCCTGATCCCTTGTGTTGGGACCACTGGGTGTGCTCTATGCTGTGTGCCAGAGCTCCCCAGCAGGAGGGAACCCTGGTTGCCCCCCCCCCCCCAACCCCGGGCACTGTGTCCTCACTGGTGCCCCTGAAGGGCTCTGGGACTTCCTGGCGTAACCTCCCACGTAAGCAAACCACATCCCCCAGATCATCTCAAGGTGTGATTCTGAGGATCCCAATCCAAGGCTACGTCTTTGAGAGACGTTGTCCACACGCTAAGTCCCACCGGGATGCCAACCACTGCTTTTGTTTGCGTGGCCTGTGAAATGAATGGAGACATCAATACCCTTTCTGATTTGGTCCTCACAGCTGTTTGGTGGAGAAGGTTACCTGATTTTATTAAAAAAAAAAAAAATTGTGTTAATGCTTATTTGATTTTGAGAGAGAGAGAGAGAGAGAGAGAGAGAGAGAGAGAAACAGAGCACGAGCAGGGGAAGGGCAGAGAGAGAGGGAGACGCAGAATCCGGAGCAGGCTCCAGGCTCCGAGCTGTCTGCACAGAGCCCGACGCGGGGCTCGAACCCACGCACCGCGAGATCATGACCCGGGCCGAAGTTGGCTGCTTAATTGACTGAGCCACTCAGGCGCCCCCAAGGTTACCTGATTCTATAAAGAAGGAAACTGAGGTTGCAGGCTGCATGACTGTTCGCTGGGCCAGATCTGTCCCAGTTCCCGGAGCACCAAACCCTTATCGGGTACCCAGGACACAGAGCAACCTGAGCATCTGGTTCCAGCCCCGGGACAACCTGATTCCGGCTGAGATACGAGGACGCTTGGCACCCCTTCCAGGGCACGGCTGGCAAGGGGGGCACATTTCGTCCGGGCTATGGGCATTGTTCCCAGCCGGCCTTCTGAGCCGGAACCTTGCATAGCTTCCCAAGAGGATGAGCAGGGGTCAGACTGGGATGAGGCTCGCGAGCTCGTGGGGTGCAACGTTCAAGGAGCTCGTTTTAGTTCAGAGGCCAATCTGCTCCCGCAGGAGCCTGAGAGCAAGTGCCTCCTTAATTATTATTATTTTTTAATTGGGGTGAAATTCACATCACACAGAACTCGCCATTCGAAAGCGGACAATTCAGTAGCATTTCGTGCACTGACAAGATCGTGCAGCCGTCACCACTGTCTAGTTCTAGAACATTTTTTTTTCTTTTTTAATGTTTATTTTTTGAGAGAGAGAGACAGACAGAATGTGAGCGGGGGAGGGGCAGAGAGAGCGGGAGGCACAGAATCCGAAGCGGGCTCCAGGCTGCGAGCTGTCAGCACAGAGCCCGACGCGGGGCTCGAACTCATGAACTGAGAGATCGTGACCTGAGCTAAAGTCAGACGCTTCACCGACTGAGCCACCCAGGCGCTCCTAGTTCCAGAACATGTCTATCACCCGGAAAGGAAACTCTGTCCTGACAAGCAGTTAGCAGCATTCTCTTCCTCCAACCACTCGTCTGTCTCTATGGATCTGCCTGCTCTGGACGTTTCCTATGCATGGAATCACACACTGCGTGGCCTTTTGTGTCTGACTTCTTTCCCTCAGCGTGATGTTTTCACGGTCATCCACCTTGCAGTGCTGTGTCAATGCTTCGTCCCTTCTTATGGCTGAGTAAATATTCCATTGTATGGATCCATCATATTTTTTTATCCACTTACCTGTTGAGGGACACTTGGGTTGTTTCTACCTTTTGTGACTAGCGCTGCCGTGAACATGTTTGCGGAAGAGTTTGTTGGAATCCCTGTTTTCAATTCTTTTAGGCCTCCAATTTTGCACCCACACCCCGGTCCTTGCCCTGGGGACGAGGCTGAGGGGTCCAGCTTCTGGTTCCCCTGCCCGCTGCAGGAGATGAGGCACTCCTCCCTGGCAGGCAGCTGTGGTCCTCCCTCCTCTGCTCCTCTCCCACCCTCTGGGAGCCCTCGGGGCCTGCCCCATTCCAGGGGATTCTCCGAAACCGCAGTTTCCAGGGTTTCTCGGTCACCCGCTCTGGCCTGGAGCCCACTGTGAACTTCCAGCCATCGCCACCACGTGGCCTCACAGCCTGGGCCTCGGTCTTCCCATCTGCAAGTGGGGCTGTCCTGAAGATTCACCGAGGCCAGGAAAGTGCCTGGCATGTGCCCGCAGAACCAGGCTTGTGAGAAGGATGGGACACTTATTCTTTTGTTTGTTTGTTTTTTAAAGTAAGCTCTATGCCCAACGTGGGGCTTGAACTCACGACTCCAAGATCAAGAGTCACATGCTCTACTGACAGCCTGTCAGGGGCCCCAACATTTATTCTGGTTTTATCTTCACCGATATTTATCATGCTCCCCGAGAACCTATGTTACTGGCTACCTCACACGTCAGGCACCCTGTGGAATGTTCGTGTGTGTTCTCTCCCCACTCCCCCAGCAAGGAGGTGTTCTGTGCAGCTTCCTGGCGGCTCTGGGAGGTGGCAGCCAGAGACAGTGGGCCACCTGGGTCTGGGTATATCTGATCAGCAGGGTCCCTGCCAGGGTCACGCTTGGGGACTAACCGCCCCCCCGCCGCCACCGCTGGGTGCTGTCACCTCTCTGACCTTTGGAAAGGGTCCTAGGGAGGCTTTAAGCCACTATGTGGCTGAGTCACCTCTACTCCGTGGGCCTGGGAGTACCTCTGTGGTCCAGGAAGGGACATATTGGGAGAATTCTGGGGATATCTGTCCATTTGGGGTCGGGATGAAGGCCAGGCATCCATTCCCCCCCACCCCCCTGGTGAAACTTACATACATGAGGATTTGTGGGACCTGGGTCCCTGACTGAGGTCTACAAAGAACATACCCTTGCTCCCCACTTCTGCCTCCTCACCCCCACTCCTGTCACTCCATCCATCACCCTGGGCCTGGGCTTGGCCACACAGCATGTTTGGATGTGGCTCAAGTGACAAAGGAGATAGTGAGGGTCGGAGTTTATTTGAGGGTCGTGCAGAACAGGAGGGGGGCCAGGGCCTCTGGAGACCCTGAGGGCTCTGAGTTATCCACTCCAAGCCTTGTCAGTTTCGTGAGCCCCAGAAAGTGGTCATCAACCCCGCCTTTTCCTGCCACCACGCACCCCACCCGACTGACAATGGCACAGGTTGACATACGTGGAGGACCTACTGTGCACAGGCACCTGGAATGGCTTACACCGAGTCTCCCAGGAGCCCTAGGAGAAGAAGCTGCCTCTGTCCCCATTTTATAGACAAGGAAAGTGAGACACAGAGCAGCGAAGTCTCTGCCACAGCCAGAAGTCTGGGTCCAGCCCCTCAGGTTTACCCGTGGCCCTGGGTTGCTCTAAGCTCAGCACACACAGATTTCAAATGCTCACAGCCCGGAAGACGTTGCAGAGTCTGAGACTTGCACTGTCAGCAGCACGGGGGTTACAGAACCCAGGTTCAAATCCTGCCTCTGATGCTCAGTATTGGCCATGGGACTCCTGGTGAGTCACTGCCCCTCTCTGGACCTCGGTTTCCTCATCTGTAAAATGGATGGAGACATTTAGAGAACCACGGCATAAGCCCAACCCTCCCTCCTGCCTATAACATCTGGATAGCTACATTTCCCAGCCTCCCCTGCCACGAGATGTGGCCATGTGACTGTTCTCGCCAGTGAGGTATAAACAGGAGGGCCCCCAGGCTTCCCGGGGAGATTTCCAGAAGATACCGAGCCTGCCCTGGCCTCTGCCTTTCCCTCTGAGAGGAGATGAAGGCTGGAGCCCTGGCAGCCATTTTGTGCCATGAAGCAACCTTCAGGACAAAAACCAGGGATGCTGTGAACTGAGAAATCAAGTCATACTGCTACTATGGCTGAGCCTAGACTTATCTTTACAGAATCCTCTTCCTGCTGCCTGATCCCAGGTCTCTGTCCCTGGTCCCTGGGTTCACACCAGGGTGGAGTCCTTCCCTGAGCCCCCTGGCCTGTGGCCCAGCATGCTGCGCATCTCATGGGTGATCCCTTCCCAGTGCCCCCTGCCAGCTGACAGTGTCCGGTGCATGCGGGATAAAGGCAGGCTGCCCTCCCAGCCTCCTCCCTTGGCAGTAGGCGCTGTAGCAGCACCCGTGGGTCTGACGGGGTCCCCAGGTTCTGGGAAGGATGAGTAGGGGGTCCGGTGGTGGGTACCCTGCTGGGGCTGAGCCCTGGGGCTGGCCTTGGAGACTTCAGCAGGACGGACAGGATCCTCTTCAAAGTGCGGTGGGGACAGTTCGTGGAGGCCACGGCGGGTGGCCCGGGCAGCTCGGACCAGAGTGTGGGTCAGTGCCGCCACGAGGACCAGAGCACCCACTCCGAGGATGGAGGCGGCGGCTGCACCTGTCTCGATCTCAAAGAGCAGCAGGGCGTAGATGGACAGTGCTGGAAAAACAAACGGCTCTCATTCACTTAGTCCACAAACGTTTGCTCCCCAAACCCTGGGAGAGCTCCCCAAACAGAGGGCAGTCACAGACACCCATGCAACATGCTAGGCACACAGCTTCACCCATCTAATCCTCTCACATCGTTGTCACATCCATTTCACTATAAAATGGTAAACTTCCGTGCCTTATCATGTGTACTTGACTACAACTGAAACAACCCAGATCTCAGGCTTTCTGAATCCTGGTGATTAACTTTCAGTGAATCACAGCCCCTCTCTGGCCTCAGGTTGCTGGTCTGAACAAGACTGTTGCTGACCTGACCTTGAGGACCGACCTGTACTAGTTTTCTGTTGGCCTGTCCAACGCCCAATTGGCATCATTCTTTTTGATGAGGACTGTCCTGTGCATGGTAGGACATTGAGCAGCTTTCTACCCACGAGGCACAATAGCGTTCCCTCCTGCCCTGTCATGACAATCAAAGATGTCTCCAGGTATCGCCAAATGTTCGCTGGGTCAGCAGAATCAGTTCCCATTGAGAACTACTGGTCTAGTCCTTACCCTCACCCTGATTGCTAACGTAGGAGCACTGACCCACCTCTCTGGCATCAGTGTTATCTATGGTACTAGGCTTGGCCCATCAGAGCATTGATTCCTCCGGTTGTAGTGATTGGTGCAGGGCTAGCACATGATCCGAGCTCAGCCAATCAGAGCCTGTCCTGGGACTGCTGACTGGGATACGGGTAGGGAGGAATTTTCTTACAGCAACAGCAGGGGACTTGGTGGTGGAGAAGCCCAGAGTGAATGGAAGACTTCTTGACACTTTGTGGGCTGTTTTTATGCTTTCTTCAGCTCTGTACTTTTGTTTAAAAAAAAAATTGTTTTTATTTCATTTTTCAGGGGGGGCAGGGGCAGAAAGAGAGAGGGAGATCTGAAGCAGGCTCCAGGCTCTGAGCTGTCAGCACAGAGCCCGACGCGGGGCTCGAACTCACGGAGTGTGAGATCGTGACCTGAGCTGAAGTCGGACGCTTAACCGACAGAGCCACCCAGGCGCCCCTACACTTTTGCTTTTAAGATGCCACACTGCATCATGTTTGACATATTAAAATGAGGCCGAGGACCTTTTTTGCTCTAAACATTTTTTAAAGAGTGTGTGTTTTGTTTTGTTTTGTTTTGTTTTTAATTATTCTTTTGGCTCTGGTCAGCAACGATGGCTAATTGGATGATTGGCTGGACATGGTCAGGAATTCTTGCTGAGTGAGGTCACCTAACCTCAAAAAAGAATCTAAATGGGAGCTGAACAAATTCTTAATTTAACACTTAATGAGGCTGACATGGTTACCTTTTTTTTTTTCTCTCTTTGCGAGTTTTCTTGTATATTAGAACGAGCATATCTCATTCTCCAAGTCTCCAACATTTTTTTTTTTTTTGCCAGCCTGTGAAAAGGCTCAAGGTCGTGGGCATCGTGTCAAAAGCACTTACAGACACAGGCATCTTTCTCAGGGGATAGCAGATTAACAGGTGACGCAAGAGTCATTTCTGATTACCTTGTTTGATCACCTGGATCCAGCTGCACCTGAGGCCAACCACCCGTGACCTTTACAGATACACGAGTCACCCCCTCCACTCTCCTTTTTTTTTTTTAATTTTTTTTTAACGTTTATTTATTTTTGAGACAGAGGGAGACAGAGCATGAACGGGGGAGGGGCAGAGAGAGAGGGAGACACAGAATCGGAAGCAGGCTCCAGGCTCCGAGCCATCAGCCCAGAGCCCGACGCGGGGCTCGAACTCACGGACCGTGAGATCGTGACCTGAGCTGAAGTCGGACACTCAACCGACTGAGCCACCCAGGCGCCCCTCCACTCTCCTTCTTTTAAAGAAAACTCACATCCGGAGCATTTTATTAAGTCAAGCAACAAAAGTTCTGCAGGGTTCCCTGCACGTGACATACCCGTATGTACCCCTGTATTCCCATAATGAACCCTAGGCTCGCATCTCACAAAGAAATATTTTAAATATATCTTCTAAACTTCTGTTGCTCTGTCGCAGGAAAAACAGTAAGGCAATCATAGCAAATCCCTTGTTTTTCATTCAGCTGGATATTATTTTCTTCCAGTAAAACAGGTTGCTTAGTGATCGAATGTGTGATTCAGCACCGAACCTGCAGCCCCATCAACACATTTTCCAAGATTAGAACAAAACAGATGTCAGGAGTCTCTTTAAAGAGACTTGATGATTTGATTCCTTTACCAGCAAGCGTGGGTGAGAGACTGTTGAGCTAAGAAAAGTTATTACAAGTCGGGGAAGGAAAGCCAGTGCGGCACGTTCTTTCTTTTTGCTCTGCTTCCTGTTTTGGGATTTACAACTGCATTTCTGGTTTATAAAGCAGTTTTTTTGTTTTTACTTAAGGCATTCTTGAGCTGGAGGTGCTGATATTTATAAGCAAACGAATTTTGCTAAGACCCACCTGTGAAACACTATCTCTAGAAAACCACCAAGGACATGGACACTTTTGTTCAAACCAGACGTCGAAAAGCTGATGAATCCAAAAGGGTTCTGAAGGCAACTACTGCTCGTGGGCCCCCCCCCCCCCCCGCACTGGAGTCAGATGCTTTCATGGGCTTTTGCGGGGATTCACCCTGAACGCCCCCAGCGATTCTCTAAGGCGGGGACGGTACACGTCCCCACTTTACCGGTGAGGAAACCGGGACGCAAGGGAGTCTGCCGAAGGTCCCAGAGCAAGAAAGTGTGTCAGACAAAGCCACCCCAGCCCGGGGCTCTACCCCCCCACGTCCCCTCCCCCGGCACGCACCTGCTAAGTAGACAGAGACCCCGCAGCAGAAGAGGCCAAGGGCCACGTGTCTGAGGAGGCGGCAGTCATAGAGAAACCAGTCAGACCTAGGAGGGTGGGGGGCAGGAAGAAAAAGGACTCAGGGGGTGGGGCTGGTGGGGGAAAGCCAGGGAGGAGAAGGAGGGGGAGCTTTGGGGGATCTGAGTTCTGTGTGAGGACCTAACCATCTATCCAGCCATCGGTCTCTCCATCTACCCGCTCATCCATCCTGCCGGGTAAAGGTCCACTACCATTTAGCACCCACTAATTTCCATCAGCTGTTCACACAGCCAGCCAGCCATTTAGCAAGGCCCTATTGATCCATCCATCCACTTATTTAAACAGCCACCGTCTGTCCATCCATCCTTCACCCACCCACCTCCCGCTCGCCATCAAATCGATCCAACCACCTATCCGTCTGGCCATTCATCCTTCGCTCACCACTCACCCATCCACCACCCATCTCCTGTGACCCATCCACGCACATCAGTCCATTCACACATCCAGCACTCACGAAGCAGCTATTACGCGGGGACCCTTGTTAGACACCTGCCTTCCGTTGTTTTACAGACCACAAACTTATTTGGGACACGAAGAGACGGAGCTCAACTTGCCATCAGAGGGGACAGAAACGGGGACTCCCGAGGGCTGAGACGGACCGAGGACTTCGTTTTGAGCCTGGCACTGGGCTGAGTGCTTCGCCGTGTGCGTTCTTCCTTCCCCACTCCTCGAGGCTTAGGAAAGCCTCTGCTATCACTCACCTCCCACCGACACAGTGGAAGTGGCCTCCTCTCTGCGCTCACCTTTTTTGCACAGTGGCTGGAGGGGGTGATTTCAAACCTAAGTCAGGTCACATGCGCCTCCTTGCTCACAACTCTCTCAGGCAGAGTAAACCCCAAAGTCTGCACCACAGCACAGAAGCCCAGGATGGTCTATTTCCTCTGATTTCCTTACCCTTATCTCCCTCATCTCTCCCTCCAGCCACACCAATCACCTCGACCTCTAACACCCCAAGCTCATTCCTGCCCCAGGGCCTTTGCACATGCTGCTCCCCCCCCCCCCCCATCACAGTCCTCCAGATCCGCTGCCTCTTTTCCTCTTTCAAGTCTCAGCGCGAGCCTCCCCGGATGGTCCCGCCTCAACCACACTTACCCTTTCCGCTTCCACCACATCACCCCAGTTTCTTCCTTTCCCAGCATTCGGCCTCACTTGACATTTCTGATCTGGCTTGTCTCTATTGTCTACCCCACCAGGGCCGGTCTGGGTCCACCTGGTTCCTGCTGTGTCCTCTATTTCCAGTGCTGGGTCAGCCCCCTGCAGGTGCCCAATACATATTGGTCCACTGACTCCCTGAGCTATCGAATGAATAGGTCTACTCCAAATGGTGGACGTTCCCATCTGCTCAAATCCATGGAATCCTGGACCAATGATTCTGGCTCTCCTCCCCGGGGCATCCTGGAGGGAAACACTTGGATGTGGGGCAGCCGAGTCCCTGACTCAAGGAAGGTCCCTCACTCTACATTCACTGCCTGCCCCCCCCCCCCCCCCCCAGGGTTCATGTTCCGGACCTCAGATGCCCGAGCCAGGGCACAGGCTCTGTCTCTATCAGAATCAAATTCAAATCCAGTCCGCCCACTTCCAAATCAGGCAGCCCGGAGAGATCAGCCGACCCTGTCCCCTGTCGGAGCCGCAGTTACAAAGGGAGGCAGTAACGTTCAGGCGCCGCGGGGCGAAGGGGGTGGGGGGGACTTCACTGAGCTAATCCTTGGAAAGCAAGAAGCACGAAGAGTTTGGGGAGCTAGCTGACCCTGGGCCCTCTATGAGCCTCAGTTTCCACCTCTGTAAAATTAGCACCTGCGGTAAATTTTCAACTACTATAGGATGGAGGGAGGGAGAGGTGATAGAAGTTGGGGATGGAGAGAGAAGGGAGGAAGGCAGGGAGGGATGGAAGAAAGGAGAAGGGGGGAGGGGATAAGGGAAGATCCACTCCCCCCCCCAACCCCCCCGCGCAACCTGAGGCCCAGAGAGGGGCGGCGGCTCGCGGGCTCGCCCAGCCCCCAGGCGGGCGTCGGGGTGGAGGGGCTTGTCCTACCTGCCGGGACCCGGCCCCCGCGCCAGTTCGGCGCCCAGGTGGCCGCAGAGCGCGGCGAGCAGAAGGCTGGTGAGGCCCAACACCAGGGCGAGCGCAGCAAGCGCGGCGGCCAGAGGCAGCAGCGCCCCGGCCGCGTCCTCGGGCAGCCCTGGGCCGGCGTCCAGCTCCGGGCCCAGCCCGTCGGCGCGCATTCCCCGCAGCTCCGCGCGGCCCGCCTGCAGCTGGAACAGCAGCTGCGCTCCCAGCGCCGCCAGCACCGCCGCCGGGATGCCCAGCAGGGTCATCGCGGCCAGCACCCGGCCCCCGTAAGACCGGGCCATGGTAGGGGTCCCGCGGGCCTGGGTCGGGGGGCGGTGGAGGAATAAAAGAGATTTTTAGCGGCAGAGAAGTTGGGCGGGAGTCCAAGGGCCCCCAGGAGTTCCGAAAGGGGGCGGGACCGCAAGGGGTGTCTGAAAATTGGGGGGCCGTAGGGGGATTGGGACGCCGATCGCAGCGGGGATGAGGAAGCTCCGCGAAAACTTGGGACAAAGTCTTTTCTCCTCCCTCTGGGGACCCTGCGGGCGCCCCCTCCCGGCCTCCAGGTCCTGGCTGGGCGGGGCCGGCGCGGGGCGGGGCGAAGAAGAAATCGAGGTGGCCCCAAGAGCTGCAAAAGCTCGGTGGCCGGATCCAGGGAGCCCCACAAGTCCCTAAATTCATGAAAGCGACCCCCCACTCCACCCACTGTCCTAAGCACCTGTTTCACTGTTTAAAACAAAAAAAACAAAAGGGAGGCTTGGACAAATTTTTAAATCATTCACTTTTTAACGTTTATTTATTTTTGGGACAGAGAGAGACAGAGCATGAACGGGGGAGGGGCAGAGAGAGAGGGAGACACAGAATCGGAAACAGGCTCCAGGCTCTGAGCGGTCAGCACAGATCCCGACGCGGGGCTCGAACCCACAGGCCGTGAGTCCGTGACCTGGCTGAAGTCGGACGCTTAACCGACTGCGCCACCCAGGCACCCCAATCATTCACTTTTTAAAATTCTTTTTTAATGTTTATTCATTTTTGAGAGACAGAGGGTGAGTGGAGGAGGGGCAGAGAGAGAGGGAGACATAGGATCCGAAGCAGGCTCCCTGCTCTGAGCTGTCAGCACAGGGCCCGGCGAGGGGCGGGGGCGGCGCTCAAACCCACCAACCCTGAGATCATGACCTGAGCCACCCAGGCGCCCCTTAAATAATTCACCTTGATATTTGGCCTCTTACCTGCAGTTGGCTGTGATTTCCCCTCTGTTCAACTTTTTTTCAAGGCTTTGCAGAAATGTTGCCTCCTGGGCGAGGCCCTTCTGCACCCCCCTTGAGTGGGCACCCCTATGTCTTGATACAAGTCTTTGGTTATTACTTATTTTTCAGTTTTAGAAATTGAGGTGAAGTTTACATGACATAAACGATTCTGAAGCGAACAATTCAGAGGCATTTAGTACAGACACAATGTTGTGCACCCATCATGTCTGTCTAGTGCCAAATATTTTCATCATCCGTAAGGGAGACCCCCATTCCCCACCCCCCTCCTCCAGCCCCTGGCACTGATCTGCTTTCTGTGTCTGGGTTTGCCTGTTCTGGACATTTTCTATAAATGGAGCCCCATGGGATGTGACTTTTTTGTGTCCAGTTCCTTTCACTGAGCATGTCTTGGATGTTCATCTATGTTGAGAGCATGTATCAGTGTTTCATTCCTTTTTATGGCTGAATAGCATTCCACGGGGTGGACGGACCACATTTCGTTTATTCAAGTCTACGTTGTGAAGATGCACATGCAGCTATTTGTCTGAGTCTGTTTGCATTTCTCTTGGGCGCATACCTACTAGTGGAATTGCTGGTAAATGTGGTAATTATATAGTTAACTTATCAAGGAACCCCCAGACTGCTCTCCACAGCGACTGCACCATTTTCCCTTGCCACCAGCCCCGCGCCAGGGTTCCAATTTCTTCATTTCCCTGCCAACGCTGGCTATTTTCTGGTTTTTGATTATAGCCATCCTACTGGGTGTGAGATGGTATCTCATGGCGCTCTTGATTTGCGTTTCCCTAATGGCTAATGATGTGGAGCATCTTTTCATGCGCTTGGTTTCATTTGTGTATCTTCTTTGGAGAAGAAACTGCCTGTTCATGCCCTTTGCTTATTTTTGAATGGGTGGCCTGTCTTCCTGTTTTCCCCCCAGGCAGCACTTTGAATCTTCTGAAGCCCTGCTGTTTCCCGGAGGTCTGAGCGCCCCCCCCCCCCCCCCCCCCCCCCCGCCCCTCCGCCCCGTTGGGGGTGGGTCCGCTGTTTCGGGGACAGCTGGATGTCTGCTTCAAGTGTCCACTGCTGTGTCCCTGTAGGGTCTGGGAGGGCACTCTTTGGGAAGTTCAGGCGTGTGCTCTGCGCAGGGGTCTCAGAACAGCCCCCCGTCCCCGCCCTCCGCCCCGCCCTCCCCCTCGGGGTCGCTCCCTCTCCTGGGGCCGCGTTTGCCCCGAGCCGCCGGGTCCACGCGGTACTTGCAGCGGCGCAGCGGCTCGGTGAGGCTCCGGGGCGCGGGGTCGTCCAGGTCCTCGGGCTGCAGGAAGTTGCGGTCCAGCACCTCCGCCGCCTCCTGCCAGTTGGCGAAGCAGGCGGGGCCCAGGCGCCGGATCTCGTCAGTTGCGTCGCGGGTGAGCACGTCCCCTCCAGGCTTGAGCACCACGACAGCCGGCAGGCGCTCCACGGAGAACTGGCGCCCGAGATCCCTGCGGGGTGGGCGGGTCAGTCCGGTTGGAAGCCCGTACCCGCCCCTGAGCTGGGGAGCCACACAGCCCTCCTCCCGGTGCTTACTGAGCACCTGCTGTGTGCACTACCCCGTGCCGGGCGCTGGGGGAGCCCAGAGACCGGGCCAGGCCAGGCCTCAGTGGCCTCTGCACTGGGTGTCCAATACCTCAGACATGCTACCGCCTCAGGGCCTTTGCACTGGCCATGCCCTCTGCCTGGAGCACTCTCCCCGGACTTCTGTGGGTTAAGACCTTGTGTGCTGAGTAGCCAACCTCAAATCTCAATGCCTCGCTCTCCCCTCTGCTGCGCTGTGCCTTTTAGCATCCAACGCACTGCACCGTTTGTTTTTCCTCTTTTTATTTTTTAAGTTTATTTATTTATTTTGAGTGTGTGAAGGAGAGTGCTAGCAGGATAGGGACAGAGAGAGATAAAAAATCTCAAGCAGGATCCACACTTGTCAGTGCAGAGCCCAATGCGGGCTCAAACTCAGGAACTGTAAGATCATGACCTGAGCCGAAGTCAGATGCTTAATCGACTGAGCCCCCCAGGCGCCCCTATTTTTCCCCTTTATCATTTTTGCCCACCATAGAATGTAGCTTCACTAGGGCACAGATTTCTGTCGCCATTCACCTGGGTCCCCAGTGCCTGAAACAGTATAGGGCACAGAATTGAGGCTCAGAAACTGTGTGGGATGAATGAATGAATCAATACTGATAAATGTCATAAAGAAATACCAAGCTGGGTAAGGGATTGGTGGTCAGAGAGGGCCTCTCCAAGGAGGTGATCTTTGAGCTCAAAGCTGCAGGACGAGGAGGGCACTGGGCGGCCAGGGTCCCAGGCAGAGGACACAGCCGTGCAAAGGCCCTGAGACAGAGGGAGATTAGAGTGCAACCTTGATCAGAGGCCCTGCAGGCTCGTAGTAAGGAGTTTCCATTTTGTCCTCAGTATGAGGGGAAGCCAGTGAGGAACCATCCACAATCCCAGGAGACCCCAGACCAAACCTCCCATCTGGACCAGAATCACGCACAGACATTCTGAAGTACAGGGGGAGACCACACTGAGCCCATCATCCACAGTTGTTAATTTCCATCCACTGGGTTTTGGGTGGCCCTTTTCTGGGCCTCTGCACAAAGAATGCATGGCTCTTGTAAAGTCACACAGGACTTTACAGACTTAGCAAAAAGAGCAAGTCAGTGTTTGGCTATGATGCCCTCACAGCTGGCATTTCTGCCCTGGGAAGGGAAATGTTACCAGTTTGCCAGAAAGATCCCCCTCGGCTGCAGAGAGGCCAGGGGGAGTGAGCAAGCATCCAAATCTGATAATGTTGGATGGACAACGAAGGTCTCCAGAAACTTCCAACTTGTGGGACGAAATTAATGAAATCTGTAAAGTGTCACAGAGTCTGTGACGCCCGCTCAAATGGTTCAGTGCACGCTCCCGTGTGTGCAGAGAAAGAAAATCTGGCAAAATGTTAACAATTGTATTGTTAATTGTTTCGTTGTATGCTTCTCCCAACTTAAAAAAAATTTTTTTTTAATGTTTTATTTTATATTTGAGAGAGAGAGAGTGAGAGAGACAGAGCATGAGCAGAGAGATGGAGACAGAATCCGAAGCAGGCTCCAGGCTCTGAGCTGTCAGCACAGAGCCTGATGCGGGGCTCGAACCCACGAGCAGTGAGATCATGACCTGAGCTGAACTCGGACGCTCAGCTGACTCAGGTACCACACAGTCACCTCAAAAAGAAGGAAAGTTTTACCGCAGAAAAGCGGGAAGATTCTTCTTTTTTTTTTTAACGTGTATTTATTTTTGAGAGAGAGAGAGAGAGAGAGCGGGAGGGAAGGAGGGGCAGAGAGAGAGGGAGACAGAAGATCCGAAGCAGGCTTTGCTTTTAGTTCAGCCTCGATGCGAGGCTCGAACTCATGAACCATGAGAACGTGACCTGAGCTGAAGTTGGACATTGAACCAACTGAGCCACCCAGGCATCCCTGGGGAAGGTTCTAAAGTAGGAGCAAACTGCAACATCGTTAGTTGGGCAGCTCAGTGCAAAGCTTGAATCCACGCACCTCTCTCTCAGCTCCGATGCCCTCCCTGGCTCCCAGATACTCTGAGGACCACACTCATACTTGTAAAGATGCAGCTTGTGGCGCCACCTGAGACCTGCAGACCTCTCATGCCTGTTACTCCTTACAGGTCCCCGAATTGGCTGTTCTTTGCCTGATGGCCTCCCAGCCTTTATCTGTGCCCTCTGCCTGGAAGCCCTTCCCTCGCTTCACTCTTTCCCCTCCTATCCTCCCTTGGCCTTGGGGTCTCTCTAAAGGCACTGCCTCAGGGAAACATCCCCTGACCCCAAACCTCAGCAAGGTCTGCCCCTTATGTTCCCACGTGGTATCCTCCCTTTGTCCTCGGGAACACAACTGCAGTTTGTTATTATGTGTTTGAGTCTTTGTGTCATGTCTGTCTCCCCAGGCTGTAAGCTCCTTGGGAGCTAAACGGAAATGGGCATATGCACCCCTCCCCCCTGTGCACCCCCCAGGCTGGGTGCAGAGTGCCACACAGGCCGAGCTCATCAATTCCAGATGGAAGGGAGGCAAGAATGAACGAATACTTCACTTTCAGCAGAAATAGCTCCTCCTCCAGGAAGCCCTCCCTGGCCTCTTCTCCCATCTCACCTCCTCAGGTCATCCTCGAAGGGCAGGAAGAGCCACTTTTTCGGCATGTCCCTGAGGAACAGATCCTGCTCCTCCTCTGTGGGGTCCTGGGACACGTACACCAGGGCCAGCTGGGCTGCCCGCAGCACGTAGAACTCATCTGTGAGCCG